ATCATATATTAATATAAATAAAGGAACGAGGAAATGACCTCTTTTAAAAAAAAAAAAAAAAAAAAAAAAAAAAAAAAGATATCTTCGCTCAAAGTTTAAAATAGTTTGTTTTGATAGACGTTTTGGTTTTTTTTTTCAAACTTTGAGCTAAGATACTTAGCAACTACTAGGCCAAATTCGATAAACTTTTTTTTGTTTGAATTCTGCAATCTATAGAATTCAAAGAAAAAATGTTTGTTGAATTTGGCCCGGTAGTTACTAAGATATCTTTGCTCAAAGTCTAAAAAAAAGTCAAATCTGCAGGGGGTATGACGGGGTATAAAAAATAATTCTCTTCATTTTTACAAATTAAAATTTTTATTGGAACCGATTAATCGTTTAACCGTATTAACCGTTTAATTCAGCCGGCATTAAAATTGATCTGGCCCGTGATAAACATAATTCGGCCTGGCACTATAAAAATTTTTTACCCGATTAAACGGTTCTAATACCTATTGCAAATTAATACCCGTGTGTGTAAATTTAGAAATTTTCATTAAATAAATAAATAAATAAATATATTTAATATATTGAGAATTAATTTTATAAATAAATAATATTTTTATATTGAGAATTAATTTTATAAGTAGATTTATATTAAATTATGTTTATATATACAGTATATATTAATTTAATAAATAAGAAATATTAATTTTAAAATGTATTGCATTGATTTATCATTTATAATATTAATTTGAATAAATTAATAACAGTTTATTTATTTAATTTGTTTAACAACTTGTTTATCCCTTAAACAGTCCAGCGGCCAAATATGCTTGCTAGAATATTATTTTTGTAATTTTTTATAATTACTTAAAATTTTATTAAGAATATACCCCCTATTTCTAAGCCAAAATAAAAATTTGAGATATTTTCATTGATTATCTGTAAAATTTATAATTTAGCTCTAAAATTATTAAAAATATTTAGTTTAGAGTATTACTAATTATAACCAGTAGTGATCATTACTAGAGTGCTTATATCTCAAAATGTACTAAGTAAACGGGATTGGGTACTCTAAGTAAAAATGTTCAGGACTCCTGAAAACCTTACAAAAACTGAAATTAGGACCTTGTATTGGCTCTATATTATATTATATATTTATATGAATAATTCTTAATACCTGCACCCTAATCCTAAAAATAATTAGAGTTAGTGATGATCACTACTAGTTATTTTAAGTATATTTTTTAAATTTAAAATTTAGTCAATTCTAAAATTTTATTATAAAATTTGTAAAAAATTTTTTAAAAAATTTTAAATTTTTATTTGTTTTTAAAGAAAAAAAAAAACTTTTTTACTATTAAATTATAAAAATTTTTTAATTGAAATTATTTTTTAACCAAATTATACAATTTATATCAAAATTATAGTATACTTATTCTTAGAATTTTAAAAAGTTTGTTAATGAGTAAAAATAAATTTATGTTTTTTTTAAAAAAAAAATTAATTTTTAAAATTTTTACTATATAAACAACTTTATTTTTTCTTATAAAATAATACAGTTTAATAATCTTTATTTTCAAATATATATTATATTAATTAATAAATTTTTATTAAAATAATTAAGTTTACCAACTATCAATTCTCATAGTATTTTTCTCACTCAAAACATTTGAATGCATCTTGAACACTTTATCCAGCATATGTGGTTCATGAGCAGCTCCAATTTTCATACATTCCTTTTTGGCTATATTTAAATAATCATTTAAAATTGGTCTATATTCAGGATGTGCACATTTATTAATGATTAAATGCGCTCGTTCAATCGGAGATAAACCACGAACATCAGCTAGACCTTGTTCAGTTACAAGAATGTCAAGATCGTGTTCACTAATAATTTATAAAATTTAGTAATGAGGACAATTTATAATATGAATCTAATTAATAAATTAATATACATACGTATGATCGATATGTGAACACATTGGTACTACACAAGAAATTCCTATAAACAGAATTATCAGAGAAATTTATAATTATATTAAACTATAAAAATTAAATCATGAATTGATTAAATTACAATGTTTACCTATAGGATCTTTTTTTGTAGGTCGAGTGGATGGAGTATGTATAATACTGAGCTTGGAATTTCTCAAAAAATCTGCTGAACCACCAAGACCATTTAACATTTTTGTCCCGCATACATGAGTTGAATTTGCATGTGAATATATGTCAAACTAGAAAATGTATAAATTTTTTTTTATATAAAAAAAAGGTACCCAAATGAAAAATAAAAGAGATAGTTGGTAAACTTAATTATTTTAATAAATACTTATTAATTAATATAATAATTAGTA